TCCATATTACTACAACATAAATTATTCTTTTGTAACAACTGTTGTAACATGAAAGCAGCATTATGCATACCTTGGAGTGGCAGGAGCCTTTATTGGAGATGGAGGCTGAAACTTGCACTTGGTTCAAGATCAAGGACTGATGAGAAAGTGTGAGATAGGAGACAGGAGGATTTCTCAGTTGCAGATCACACTCCAAAAAGCAGAGGAAAAACTCAATCAACATGGCATTAATTGGGGCAGTCTACTGGTAGACAGGGCACAGTCAATGAAAATTTAGGTAGAATTATTTTTCAGGAATCTGGTAGTGGTGACTGTACTTGGTAAATTATCTTTTATGCCAGGTGTCACAACAGCAAGATCTCTTCATGTTCATGCTCTCTGGAGGAAACCAAAAGGCCAGGCAGGCCAACGAACCAGGATTTCAAACAGGAATCCTTGGCAGAACCTAAACCCAGATGACTGGATCAAAATACTCACTGCATCAGCTGTCTTTGATCTGGGAACTACAGACCCCAAGGATTCATCCCATGGGAGAAACATGGGATGACTGTAGAGGTGAATGAATGTATGCCACTGTCCGTGTTACTGGGTTACCAAGCTCCGTGTTTACAAAGTGATCTGGGTCTAAGCCCATTAAATGGGCTGAGAGAAAGGAAAGCAGAGTGCATGGAAAGGCATTGCTTACCCAGCAACTGAGGTAGACATGAATTTTCAGGAGAAACTTTCCAGTTTAGAGAGCTAAAAAAAAGTTGACGTGGTAGAAACGGGAACTGACAACAATATTGATGTTCTCTGAATTTACACCTCTCTATTTTTTAAGGGAAGTAAATTGTACTAAAAATAATGTTTGTCAACATAAAGCCAAAAGAGTCTTTGTAATTTTATATAATTTCCTTATTTTTGTTTTTGTTTTCCAAATGTGATTAAGGAAGTCTTTGGAGAATAACCTCAGGATTTCTCACCTTCATATTATTTTCATGTCTGAATACTTGTTTTTTTTTCTGATTACAATATTAAAAATATATCTAACCTGCCCTGGCTGGGTGGCTTTGTTGGTTGATGGTTCAATTCCCAGTCAGGGCACATACTGAGGTTTTGGGTTCAATTCCGTTGGCATGTATTTGGGAGGCAACCTATCAGTCTCTCTCTCTCTCTCTCTCTCTCTCTCTCCCCCTCCCCCTTCTCCCTGTCCCTCTCCCTCTCTTCCTTCCTTTTTCTAAAATCAATAAACATATCCTCAGGTAAGGATTTTAAAAATTATATATATAAATCCCAATTAATTGGTTCATTTGTTGAAGTTTACAGGCTACATTTATCAAAGTGATTTTTTAATTGGGCTTTTAAGTTGTTCTATTATGATTGTCCTCAGGCATTTATATGTTTGTAGGCATTTCATTAAAATAAATAGAAATTGACACATCG